ATTTTATAAGACAGGCATGTTGGCATCTTTCTGTGGGATTCCAACTCTGGAGGTTACATCCAAATCCCACCCAGTTAAAAGTTCATGATCTTGTCCCTACACCCACAGTCCTTCACATGGTCCAATCTTCTTCCACGCTGGCGTCTACGCCTAACTTCTTCCGGTCAGGTGTGAAAGTGCGGAGACAAAGGATGACCTTGACTTCTAGCAAAGAATGAAGAAAGACCGTTGGCTTACCTGAACGGTCGTTCTCTAGGCGCTGCGGGAGAGTCCAAGCATGGGTTAGCACAGTTTATCTGCCCTAGGACTGAGTATCTTTTTAATTTGATCACGCCTCCCCTTTGCCTCTATTATCTCAGTTTAAAAATGAAGGACACTCCGATAAGGACCGCCCTCACAGATCCTTGATATACCTCTGAGGTAATTCTGACCCTGGGGGGGGTTTGGACTCTCCCGCAGTGCCCAGAGAACGTCTGTTCAGGTAAGCCAACGGTCTTTCTCTTAGGCACTGCTTGAAGAGTCCAAGCATGGGACATACCCAAGCTACGATTTCCCTGGGCGAGGAGAACCATTAGAATCCGGAGCCTCTGCAACCCTCTGCAATACTCTTCTCCTCAAGGAAGCTTCGGCCGAGGCAAAGGTGTCAATCTTATAGTTACGGATGAAGGCCGTGGGGGATGCCCACGTGGCTGCCCTACAGATGTCTATGATCGATGCCTGGGTCACCCATGCTGCGGATGTGGCCGCACTTCTCATAGAATGAGCAGTCGCCCAACCCAGAACCGGCTTGGCTTGAGTCTCGTACACCAGCTTAATACCGGCCTGTAGCCAGCGTCCAATGTTATGTGACAATGCTTTTTGCTCTTGCAACCCAGGATGAAAAGAGACGAATAATGCCTCCAAGCGCCTAAAATCTTTGGTCCTCTTGATGTAGATGCGAACTGCACGTCTTACATCCAACTTGTGCCACTGTCTTTCTTTGGGATGTGACGGTTTAGGACAGAAGTTAGGAAGGATCACTTCCTGTGACCTGTGAAAGAGTGAATTGACTTTAGG